CACTTAAGTGTCATGTAAACGCAATTTGTTATTGCGCTCATATGACTTTACTAGCATTAATTCACGTTATGGAGGGTATGCGGATACTTTTGTCCACCCTCTGTATATAAAAATATAAGTTATGTGATCATATAAAATTTGTTATTAATCATATACTGCAATATTACACAAATTATTAAAAGCTTTTTATACTGAATTTTATTCTGAAAACTTTTTTTGTGCACTATATATAAATTAATAAACTAATTTTATATATAAATTTATTTAAATTTGCTTTTTAAAATTATAATTTATTTATATATTTTTCAATAAATATCTTAAAAATCATTATTTAAAATTTTATATTAAATTTTTAAAACTTTTTAATTTTAGTTTTTTATATATTTTTTGGTATATTTATTATTTTAATTAACAAAAATATATTTTTTATTAATACATTTAGTATAATTACTAAAATTTTATAATATTTATTAGATATTATTTATATTTATCTGATATTATATAAGAGTAGTGTTCCGCACAGATTCAGATCAATCTGAATCTAATCTAAATCTGACGGATAAGATTCAGATCAGATCTGTCAGATTCGGATCTAATTCAGATTTAGATTTGAATCAGATCAGATTTGTCAGATTCAGATACAGATTCGGATCTGATCCATCAGATTTAAATTCAGATTCAGATCTGATCTGTCAGATCTGAATTCAACTTTTTAAAGTTGAAAAGTTCCTTTTTAATGAAAAGGGACGAATTTTCAGACTTCTTTAGAGCTGAATATTTGTTTTCTTTCATTGAAAAGGAATGAATTTTTGGATCTCTTTTAAAGCCGAAAAGTTCCTTTCATTGAAAAGAAACTAATTTTCAGATCTCTTTTAGAGCTGAAAAGTTCCTTTCATTGAAAGGAAACGAATTTTTTGACACTTTTAGATCTGAAAATTTGTTTCTTTCATTGAAAAGAAACGAACTTTCAGACCTTTTTTAGAGCTGAAAAGTTTCTTTCATTGAAAAGAAACGAATTTTCAGACCTTTTTTAGAGTTGAAAAGTTCCTTTCATTGAAATAAATTTATTTTCAGACCTCTTTTAGAACTGAAAAGTTCTTTTCATTGAAAAGGAATGAATTTTCAGACCTCTTTTAGAGCCAAAAATTTCCTTTTATTGAAAAAATGAATTTTCAGAACTCTTTTAGAGCTGAAAAGATTCCTTTCAATAAAAAGGAATGAATTTTCGGAACTCTTTTAGAGCTGAAAAGGTTCCTTTCATTGAAAAGAAACATTTTCAGATCTTATTTAGAACTGAAAATTCATTTTTTCAATAAAGCTTTCAGATTCAGATTGGATTGGATTTGGATTTAAACCAATCTGTCAGATCCAGATTTGAGATTTGATCTGTCGGATTCAGATCAGATCTGAATTTCAACGGATCTATCAGATTTGGATCAGATTCAGATCCTAAAAAATGAAAATCAGATTAGATCAGATTTGGATAAAATCTGATCCGATCTGATTTTGTGAAATACTATATAGGAAACAATAAGTAGAAAAGAGAGAAATCTATTTTTTAATCAAAATTTTTTTATTAATTTACTTTGTTAATTATAATAATATGAACAAAACTAGCTTAATAACTAAAATTACTTAAAATTTATAGATTTTTCTCTTTTTTATTAACCGTCCCTTTATATAATTTAAATAAATAATTTTATAGGTTAAAATTTTAAATCAATTAAACTAAATAAAAATATATAATATAATTATAATTTATAAAGCTTTAAAAATAATATTAATAATATTTTTAAACTTATAAATTTATAAAGAAATTAATATTTTATTAAAAAAAAAATTATTAATAGGTTGATTGTTAAAAATATAAAATATTAGCATTTAAATTCTTTTATTAATAATCTTTATTCATAAATTAACAGAAAAATTGATTTTATAATTAAAATTTAAATATAAAATATTATTAGTTAATATTTATTTTTAATATAACTTCCAATAAAATTATCTTTTAAAAAAATTTACTAATTATAAAAAATTATAAGAAAATTTAAAAGTTATAAATACTACAAGAAAAAGATTTAGTAATTAATAAGAATTATGTTTAAATTATCTAATAGGTAAATTTACCTATGAACTTAAAATATTTCTTAAATACTAGAAAAATGGGGGACCGTTGTTAAGTCTGAAACTTTATCCAGACTTTTATGCAATTGTAAGAGCCAGTTAGCATTGACTCAATTATTGAGAGGGCGGATAACAGAACATTTTATGTAACCTTAGACCTGTACATATATAGTCCTTCACTTCATTCTAGACTAATAAAATTTGAATTTTAGTAATATAATTATTAATTATAAAAATTCTTAAAAAATTTTTTTTATAATTTATATATTTGCAAACTAATTTATATTAAATTGTTTAAATTGTGTAATTAAAATTATTTTTCATAATATATTTTATTATAAAAGTAATTTTAATAAATTATCAAAATTAATGATAAAATTTTTTTATATTATAATTGAAAATAAAAATAACAAAAGTGAATTTATATAATAAATAAGCAAATAAATTTGTTTGCAAATACCTATAATTTATATATACTAATAGCTTTTCTTTTATTAAGATATTAAATTTACATATAGATTTTGATATAAGATTTAGAAATTATAGATAGTGTCAACCTCTTATTAACTACTAAACATAATTTTCCATCCTTTGATGAAATATCAAAAGCTGCAAATAATTATTAAAAGAGAAAAAACAAGATAACTAAGAAAAAACCTTTATCTTAATTAATTTCATTAATTAGTTTCAAATTCATAAAACTAGAAAATTAATGACTACATGAAATTTATGGGCCAAGAATTTTGCTAATCAATTAATGCCTTGTCATGGTTTTGCGTATCATTAACTGGTGGGATATATGTTTTGATACTTTCTGATGACATTTTGCAAGTGTAATGGACTATTATGTGAATAACCGTTATCCTTAAATTCAGATGTAAAATTCCATTTAGAAGAATACTTTGTTAAACATGTCAGAGAAAGATAATACTGGATGTATCGATTTTTCGGGTTTTGATAATCCGGGATTCTAAAGTTCAATCACCGAAAAAGGCATAAACTTGATGCGTAAAAATTCGCCGCAATCAGATTGATCAACACAATCCTTTGGTGATAATTTTAAAGAATAAATTAATGAATAAAAATAAATACGCGAATTACTGAGTATATTGTAAATAAGCAAAAATAAACATGAAAAGAATACATATTTCCTTTCTTTTTTTTTTGATCAATGTTTAAGGATGATATTTTTAAAGAATCAAAAGTTATCTTGTCGTTACAATATCAATTTTTTTTAAAATAAACAGTAAATTATTCAGGATTGATGAATAATTAAGCCGAAATTCTTTATTTAAACAGCTATTAAATACATATTTCCTTTTTTTTTTTTTTTTTTTTTTTTGAAATTCTAATCTAATTAACAGCTCCCTTGTGCGAATTCTCTTCTTCTTTTACTTACAATTATGAGATTTTGCGGTTACGTTCTCGAAATTTTGGTCAATGATGTACCTTTACCAGAAAGACCCATCAAAGTCGAGTCTGACGTAAGGAATAATATGTTGTTCGCTTCCAAATTTTCAATTCAAAAATTCAAAATTCAAAATTCAAAATTCAAAAATCAAAAATCAAAAAAATAATATTTTAACATAATAGCACATTAATTTCGAACCAAGTTTCTACGTTGATAACATAACCAAACAAAAGGTCTTCTGGTACGCAAAAAGCATTGATATCTACATTATGTATATATATACACACATATATTGAACTCAAAAAATATTTCTCCTTTTCTCAGCGAAATGCATTATGTCGTAGAAGTAAAGGTTCCTGAATCCGAATTTAAAGTACGTTTTCGATCGTTAAAGGTTACCAAAGATCGTCAAATACGCGGAGACGTAGTTATGGACGGTAAAATGGATGAAACCTGCATCGAAATGTATGATAGGTCATTTCATGTCGTTAACGGATGTTGGCGTAAAAAGATTCATGAACCGTTCAAATTCCCGTCCAATTTATGGCCCTCCTCAACCTTGACATATAATATGGCCAAGTCGGCACATCAATTCGGTGGACTTGGTGCGATTTCCGTTTATTTTTATGAAATCGAAAGGGTAAAATTTCCTACCGTTAGAAATTTAAATACTACATCAAAAAATTTTAATTACCTATTTTGGAATGGAAGTTCGAAATTGAAATCATATGAACCTATCGCCGTTTTACACATTCATTATCGATCAACTTCCTGGTTTGATGAAATATTAAATAATCATCATCGTCAACATCAAGAAACGTCTGCTGTTGATAATTACTCGATGTCAAACGAAAAAAGGAACATTTCGGTGGGAAAAATTTCATTATCAGAAAACTTTAGTAATGATTTGCTATAGAAATCTCAGGAAATGAAAATACCTCTGACGGTATGATTTCTCCTAAATCAACCAATCCATACCGTACCAATAGGGAAGAAGTAGGAAACGTACAAGAAGTCGAAATGTCGAATATCGCAAATTGTAATATATAGAATCAAATGTACTTACTTTATCGTGAAGAAAAAAAATATTCTTTATAAAATATATTTTCAAAAAAAAAAAATAAAAAATAAAATATGTTTGACGGTTTGTCTTAATATTTATTAAATTATAAAATCGATGCCTGCTGAAAGAATGATCAATTGCATTAGAAAAAAGGGTAACTAAAGTTTTTTTAATTCGATTTGTGAATTTGTGAACTACTTTTAGTTTCACTGTGGACAAATGCCACTTTATGAAATTTTAGCATTACGAGCAAAGTCACTTCAAGGTCTGAACATTTCTTCCATTCCCTAAAATATTAACTAGTATTCAAATAAAAATAATTTGGTATCTTTTGACCTTCGACTGGTTGATTACTACGGAACGATTGAATTTGATATGCCGTCACCTTGGTTTTGATCCTACAACTGTCGCTTTTTAATATGCTTCGTGTTAACGGATTGTTTATCGACGAGAAAAACAAAAGATTATGAACAAATTTAATTTATCAGTTTGTTACATACCTCGAAGCACACAAAATCTAAGGTAAAGCTCTTGAGTTTGTGCAGAATTGTAAGCTCCGTTTGAAAACTTCAATTTAACGAGCGTTTAAAAACCGTCTTCATGGTTCATGATTCATAGGATCAACAAATGCAAAATTATATTTAACGGATATTTTAACTTTACTTAGACGATATATTTTTCAAAGGAACGATTTTTTCTTTAAAAGTATGCAATTACCGTGTCACCAAAATATTTAGGCAAATAAAATTATGTGCTATTATGCGTTCGAAAAAAAAAAAAAAAAAAAAGCCTATTTGACCAAATTTATACAGATCAACTTTGCATTTTACATATAGATTAAACCATATGTACTGCAAAGATCTTGGCGATAAGTTTTTTAAGTAAACAAAAGGAAATTAAATTTGTGAAATTTCTTTATCAAATGATCATAATAATTGATATTCAACTTTACATTAACTTTAAGTTATCAAATATAATCATCATAACCTAATATTTTTAAATAAGAGCGCCACTTCAAAAAGGGGAACAAAGCAAAATTTTAAATCAAAGAAAATGTACGGACAAGAAAGAACACCATCAAAGACATAGATTTGAATCAAACTCTTCACCCGAATCGCCCGAAACATTTGAAACAATCATCTGAATCATCATCTGAAACATTTCCAATCATTTGAACCGTCATATGAAACAATTGAATCGTGCTTAATAATGGTTATAAAATGTTTTAGCCAAACTAGAAATGCTACTTTTAATAAACACTAATGAAGAGTTATAATAAATTTCCTTCAATTACATTGCTTGAAAATCATTATTGATAAATGGGGTAAATTTTTTGAATCGATTCGGATGATTCGGGTGATTAAAAATGAACTCCCGATCCTGTTTCCCCGACTCCGCCTGCGAGTGATGCACTTTAGTTTTTTTTTTTTGATTTTGGGAAACAGAGTGAGGTTTTTTTAGAAAGGTTTTGATCGAAATCATTTATCTAATCAGCAGGTAACTTCTAATCCTAGATGAAATCATGACATTTTAATCGATATCAATACTGCTAATTATTGTATAATGACGGTTACGATTACCTTATAAATTATTATAGTAATCGAGTCTTTTTAATATGCGGTTGTCTTTTAAATAATACCATCCCTTCTCTTATTGACATGACATGTGTAACATTACCTTTGAAGCCAATATCCCCCTTTTTTTTTTTAGGAGCAAAACTCCCTGCATTCAGTGCATGAATAGCATAATTTTTTTTTTAATTGGTTTGTGAACCAGATTAATTAAATTTTTTTTTTTTTTTTATGATGTTCTGTTAATTTCAACCAAAATTTGTATTGCGTAACAGATTTACGCCAATTCTTTTTTTTGTAAATAGAATTAGAAAAAGCCACAACTCGTTAAAAATATTTTTCTAAAAATTATTTCTGTTTTACAAAGTTTCGTTGGATATGACATTTTGTACAACACCTAAAGGGCCCTGGTAAAAAATAGTAAGATCATATCATTCTATAATTAGAAGAGATTTTTATTTGTTCGAGAACAAGTCCCCTCACTAAGTTTATGCGTCATTTTGATAATGTGATTTTTTCTTGTGACTTTTCTTGAGTCATGTGTAAGTTTCATTAATGATGAAATTTTTTTTTTTTTTGTCGGATCCCCATGTTATAATTTTATTTTCCTTTTTTTTTACACGGGTTGTCTCTCAGACATATTACTACTGTATAAATTCGTATAAATTGTACAAATTGTTAATGAATTTATAAAGGTTCATTCACAAGTTAAATAAATGTTTACAATGTTTAAAGTTATATCAATTTGCAAGATCATGAATGTCAAAAACCGGAAATGAATTCTCATAATGCATGTTTGTATATTAAAAATCCTAAACAAAAAATGTTTGTTATTAAAAAAGTGTAATAAAGAAATTTTTTATTTACGTTTTTTTAGATATTAACGCTTCCATAATTTTTGACTACCAGTTGTATCAGCCACAACCAAATTTGGCAAAATTTTACGATAGGAAAAAATTTTTTCAATAGTTGCACAAAATATTTGGAAATTTTTGTTCGAAGTTTTTTTTTTTTTTTATTTTGAAGAGAAATTGAAACTGATATACAAAATTTAGAAAAAAAAAAAAAAAGTAAAGGCAAAGGAAATGATATATTACAGGAGTTGAGATTTTATGAAGTTTAATGAGTTAAATAGTTCATAAATGAATTGCGTAATGAGAAAGAAAAAATATAAAAAAAAAAAAATGCAAATAAAAAAAGAGAGAAAGGTTGAGATAAAGGTGTAAATAATTATAGTACAATTTTTTTTTTTTTTTTTTTTTAAAAAAAGCAGCCTGTGCCCAAATTTTATATAAAGATTATTTTTTAAAAAACCCAGAATTATTAATAATTATTAGAATACAACCAACCCATTATTTACACCCATATCCACCCTTCCCTCAATTTTTTTTTTTTTTTTTTTTTTTTTAAAAAAAAAAAAGAAAAATGGATAAAAAATAAATAAAAACTAATATATATAATATGTATATAAAAAAAAAAAAAAATGTTCGTTACTCTCAAAGTAAAATATTTTTACTATTTATATGTACGATAAGAAAATCCCAGGATTTTATACTAAGGATTTGCTTTTAATTGGGTAATTAATATTGAAAGGTTGACTCAAAGGTATGTATTCCCGCAAAAATATCAGCAAGACCTTGAGTGTTTATGGTATTGTCTCGAAATTCAGGATAAGCACAAGACGTGTTGATCTTTTGGCTATTTAAATTATTTAAATCGGAATTATTGGTAGAGATTGAATCAAATGAAGAATGAGGAGAGTAAATTAATTCTTCATTATTTGGAAAAGCGAAGATCAAAGGATCAACGGTTTCCTCACGGAATGAACCGGGAGTTAATTCATTAATCGATTGAAATGTTAAATTTGTAAGGTTGTTTTGAAATAATGCTTCTTGTTGTTGTTGATGTTGAATTCGGTATAACATTTGCATTTGTTGTTGCAATTGCATATCTTGAGTTGAAAACGAAGAGTTATGAAGCTGTTCAGGTTCAGCGTAAGGAACGGGAGCGGTAGTATAAACTAAATTGTTATTATTGTTATTGGGAGTATTTGGGGATGAAATAGGGGGGGTCATCATTGAAAAGTCAAAGTTTTGGATTCCAGTTGCTTTATTGGTCATGGGAATTTCAATTCTTCCAACGAGGTTATTCAACCGATTTTGACCTTTGTTCTTCTTTGTCGCCCTAATTGGTCCAGATTCGTCGACATTTGTTGACTCTTGGGAATTAAAGGTGGCAGCAGCGGATTGTTTACGAGCTTGCCTGCGCTTTTCATTTTTTCCTTTATTCTTATTTGGTCGATATACATAGTTTGGGTATGCCTGCATGTGTTCAAGTTTCTTTTGATCCGCATATCTTTCCCAAGATAAACGTTCTTCGTCAGTTTCGCTTTTCCAACAGCTTGAAATGTATCTCGAAATTTCAGCATTGGTAAGGTTACGATGGGCAGCGAGAATAGCCGGTTGCTTAGCACGTCTATAAAGGATGAATGCGTTTGGAGGTCTTGGAGGTCGTTTTTCTGGTTGCATCTTGGAACTACCCGGTAGTTTTTTGCCATTTTCACCTCCATTACTAAGATTGGAAGGATCGTAAATTTGAAAAGGATTCTCTTCCTTTTTCGAAGTTTGATCCTCAACGGCTGCGGCACCGGCGGCCATCGAGTGGTTCGTTGGACCAGTCTGCGGGAAGAGGTCCGAATCATAGTTTGAAAATGAAGAAGCATCACAATTGTTGAGAATCAAATCGTTGGACTTTGATCCGGTGCCTTTGCTGGAGGCGGTGTTGAACATAATGTATCCACAATATTTGTTGCGTGCTTCAACGTCCATTTTTTTGTCTTAATAACTTGATGAATAAAAATGAACTAGAATGAGGATAAAAAAAAAAAATCGTTCGATATTAGTAACATTGCCTTGTTTTCTATTAAAAGGAAATCATTTATTTGCTTGATTGAATGAAAAAAAAAAAAAAAAAAAAAAAAAAAAAAAAAAAATACTTACAAAGATCTAAAGAAAAGAAGGGAAAGTAAAAAATATATTTTTTTAGATGATATATTTAGCTTGTGAAAAAAAAACTATTATCGCCTTAATACAGGAAGAAAAAAAAGCTGAAGTTGTAGTAGTAGATTGGAAGGAAAAGGTGAAAAGGGAAAAGGCGATTTTTTTTTTTTTATTTAATGGACGTTTTCCTTAAAGTTTTTTATTAAAAAAATTCAAAGAATAGAATTTGATGGGATTTTTAGCCACAGACCTGAAATGGTCGTATTTATAAAAAAAATTTTAC